TAGAAAATGAAGAATCTGCAACAAGGTGAAGACGGTGAAACCAATCAATACTTCAAAATCCAAATGAGACAAAATCACTAACCTTCAATGCTCTAATAAAAGCTGTTAGAGTTCCATCCTGTCTTTTAAAATAGTTTCTCATAAAAACTGCTAGCTTGTGGCCAATACTGAACCCAGAACCCGGCTTCACAAGAACAGCCTCAACAATTGCATCCATTCTCTCAGCTGGGGTCCCCAAGGTGAACTTAGAAGGGCACAAGTAATGTAGGGCATTTGAGGAAAGTATGCTTCTTGGGGCATCAAGAGTTGTTGCAACCCCCATTATTAAAATAACTGGAATCTTAACAATCCATTCACTGATAGAGAACAAGAAGTGAATTACTATATAAAAATTGCACGACAGAACAAAAGTAAGTTGATAATTGCTACAATTTTAAGAATAAAAAATTTAAGTTGATAAGTGGGACAATTTTAAGAATTAAAAACTAAAGTTGATAAGTGACACAATTTTAAGAATTGAAAATTATATATGGCCTATAACCAAGCATAAATCACCGAGTAATAGCATGTCAATATCATTTTGTTGGTAAACCAAATAAGCAGGTATGCAATGAATTGTCTAGTAAACGTTATCTTAAAGACCTGAAAGTGTGGCCTTCCATTTGGGCAAAAATTTATTTTTGACTGGCTTTTGCATGTTGAGTAAAGATGAGGATGCTAGCATGAGACTAAGGATGGAAGATAGAACCTCCTTTGCTAGGTCTCACACTTGAATCTAAGACCACATACTCCTACAAGGAAAACATACACTATCATAATCATACTACTTTGTCATAGGCAATAACACCGTGAATTTAATTTAATATAAAAAAATCACATTCTTTTCAATTGAACATGTCTACCTATTAACTCTGTTTATTACATTTCTGCTAAAAGAGCCTCACCAAAATAAATAAATAAATAAAAATTTTAACTCAATATTGAGGAAATATGTACAAAGAAATGGATAGAAACCACCCTGTGTTCTCTATATTACAGTAGATAAAAACTATTAACATGATCACCTCTTCCTTCAAGATTAATCATGATTGATGGCTTTAGTCCCTGCTGACCAAAAAGCCAGCCCAAATGAACCATCAAATAATAAAAATTTCAGTTTGCAGGTTTGCCAACATGCACAATGAACATTGCAGGTAAAAGAACTACATGGTCAACTTGTTCTGTCAAACAAGGGCTCCATAATTATCTACTTTTATCAACAGAGCAAGGTTATTTCTAAGATCTGAACCCATCCTATCCATCAACAATGACTCATCCACAAACCATATGCTTGTTTAATGAATCAAATACTGTTTTTTTTCCTGGTGCATACAAGAATTTGAAATTGACAAATAAATGACCCTTCTTTGGGCTTTAAACATTAAGAAGTGACAACCAGCATCAACATTCAACAATCAATAATTGCAGAAGAAAACGCTAAACAAAAGAAAACCTAGTTTCGACAGGATCAAGAAATGAAGCTAGAGTTGGTTTCACAAAGTGATGTGCACTTTGGTTTGGAGCAAATGTTGGTAAAGTAAATTATGAAAAGCATAGTTTAGTTCGAAAGTGAAGACAAGATGCATTCCAATACCTTAACATAAGAATAAAATCAGACAAGACAGGACCTGAACATCGCTCTATGTCATCAACAATAATAACCACAGGCTTGTTGTAGTTTGCTTGTTCCCTATACCATGATGCTAAGATGGAAATATCAGCTGCCTGCTCAAAAACAGAAATAAGAAGCAGCACAAGTTACAGAAAACTCTTCAACTACAATATAATCCCACTATTGAAGAAATAAGGCACCATTGTTTACATCCAATGTAGCCATTAAGAACTGTCTCAATAAACTTTGTAGACAACCACCAATCCCATTTTTGGCAGAAAACTCCAACGATGAAAGGTTGGCCACATGGTATCCTTGTGATTTCAAATGATTCCCAAGCTCTTCAAATGTCAGCAAATCATCAACAAATTCCATATTCTCTGCAAATCATTCCAAGAACATTGATGAAAAAGGAAAGACATGCAAATGCAATTTAGTTTATGGTAATTTTTTTATAGTGAATGAAGGAGAAAATGCAACAACCTAGGAGCATAAATCAAGACTTATATTACTATGCCAAGATGTATATCATGATTGAATCAATTTATTCCTCTGTCAACTCCAATTACCAATGCATAGCAGTTAACTTCCCCTGCAGGACAATTTACATGAAACTAACAATGATGGACAAAGGTTGACTTATTCCTTTGAACACATTTAAATTCTTTGAAGTTGATTTATTTTCCCATTAGATATCAGATATTTAAAGTACATATCTAATCTAAAGAACAAAAGTTGCAGAAACCCTGCTTGATTTCAAAGGAATGAAAGTTTTGGGGCAATTTGTGGAAACATTAGGCTGGCATAGGAGCTGACAGGTATAGGTGGACAATTCACTTTCTCTGTCATTCTATCAATCATGAAAAATGCAAATCAAGACGACTCCCGGTATCAGTTTTGCATCTTGAATACAATCAGTTGACCCATGGTACTCATCCACCCATCCCCATGGGACATATGGCACATACTACCAATTATTCCAATCAAATTTCAAATTAAATGCATCAATTAGATAACTTACTGGTAAGAACAAGCCCAGTGAACAGCTGTTTAGAAGTAGCATCCATCACAACTGGAAAAGAACTAGTTGCTTCGGGAAAATCAAGTGTTCCAGATGATTTAATAGCATTGAAGGATTGCTGAACCCATTTTTGTATTTCACTGAAAACTTTAGTACTGATTTCCCTTAAAACATCCTACATTTAAGATTGAAAAAATTTTAATTCCTTACCACATCTGGCAATTGTTCCTAATTGGTTGCTAAGAAATATCCAACGGCAATGCAAAGTGCAAACAAACCACCAGTCCACAGATTTTTCTAAAAAAAGTGCTTTTCAAGTTGAAATAAGAAATTAAACTCAACTAACTTAAACAAATTTGTTTTTTTATCTTAGCTCAGCTAATTTAAATTGTTCATACATCAAGAACCTAAGATTGGAAAACTTTTGATTGTTCTATTGTTCTCTTTTCTTACCAGATCTTATTAGCAACCATTTAGAGCCTAGAAAGGAAATTCACAAATCAAAATTTTTTTAAAAGATAGGAAGATGTCAAAGAAAAAGAGGATATAAAATACAAACTCTGATGGTTGACTCAATTCTGGACCAAACAAAATCAAAAGCCTCCATTCGCAAGTTCATGTAGGAATTATCATCAGCAGTGTTGTTTCCTTCTGGTTTCTCAGCTTTTTTAGGTGATGATGGTGACAAATCAATCCTCCTCCTGCTTTTTCCTGTTCCCGATGATTTTCTCTCAGATTTTCGAGATGATGCTTTGTGAAGAAGAAAAAATGGCTGCATACAAATTTTCATTAAGAACTTCAATACATACTCGACCAGAAAACTTACAGATATTAAATTTTAAAAGTAAATAAAAGAAAATGGAAATTTGCAAACTCCAGTTAGGAAATGGCTAAATAGAAAGCTCCTCATGTTTACCTCCGCTTTTCTCCGTAGTGAAAAGGAAACCATAATTCAGGAAAAAAAATATTTTTTTAAAAAAAAGTAAATCAACAAAGATATTAAAAGAATGCTATAACCACATAGATCCTCACAAATCGGAACAGAAACAAACCGAGAAATTAGTTATAATTTTAATACTTCTCTTTCTTTCCTTTTCCATGAACTTCCCCAGCTAGCGTTTCCCGAGAATCAAACAGAGAAACCGATGATTCAAAAGCCAACAAAAAAAGAAAAAAAGAGAGAAAGAGAGATCGAACCTGTAGATTGTTTTCCGCGACTGCATCGGTGGGAGGGGCGGGCAGAGGAGAAGCATCATTGGCAGAGGGCGCCATAGATTTGGTTGCTGTGATTGATTCAAGAGTGAACTGCAGGTGGTTTCTGCGTCGTTTCTAGGGTTTATTCCCCACTGCGTTTTTTTGGCGGGAAATGATTCGGGGGTATAACTGTCAAATGAGAACTGGGCTAAACCGATGGGTGGGCTCATGGTTCTTTTGGTTTTGGGCCCGTAAGTGACTCATGATAAGAATCAAAATTCTAAAAGCGGAATCTGGTTTCCCAGATCTTAATGGGCCGTGTTTTTTGATCAATACTATTTCCTTTTTCACCAAAAAAAAAAAAAAAAATTTCTAAAAGCGTTTGTTTGGAAATGGGACTTTAGTGGTTGTATTTGAATTTGTACCTTTTAAATTTAAAAATATTGTTTGTTTGTGTAAATTTTAAAAATGTTTTAATAGTTAAAAATTAAAAATTTTAAATATGAATTTGGTAAAGAGAGATTTTTTTTTTTAAAAAAAAAGAGAAATCTAATCTTTAACTTTAGGATTTTGATAACATGCCTTTCATAAATTTTTAATTTTGATTTTAAATAATTGCAAATTTATAAAAAGCAAAAATAAAATAAAATATCATTATCATACTAAATGAAGCTTTAATTATAGATGACATGCTAATCATTTTTAAATTATCAATGATGTGCAAATTTACATATATATATATATATATATATTGCACATCACATTAATTAAGTCTCATTATAAGGTAATTAATTCTTTTTAGAAGTGTCACATGCACTCGGTATGGGATCCAGTGCCAGGCACTCCTCTTCCCATTAGTATACTTTATCCTTTTCTTTTTTCTTTTTCTTTTTTTTGAAGTTAAAATATAAGTAGGCTAGAAATTTGAGTCCATTTTTTTTTTTTTTTTTTGGGTTTTGTTGGGGGAATGATTGAACTTGAAGAACTGATTTGTGAAGCGAACGGAAGTTTAGGGGCTCCTTTACACATGTTTCCGTGTAACCGGAAACTTGAAACGTTTCGCTGGGGATTTAGTTTTGCCGCAACGAAGAAACGTTTCATTTTGTCATGGCTTAGAAACAACTGACATAACAGATCAAGAAGACACTGAAAATCCAGAGGGATAAGATCCGGAGGCGAATAGGTTTAGACATACAGAGAGAGAGAGCTTTCTGGGGTTCTGGTGGAGAGATTCGAGTGTTTGGTGTAATCTTCTTACTTGAAAGAGGGATGGGTTGGGGTTGGGCGATCTACGAAGGAGTGGTGGTGATGGCGTCCCTCTGCCTTCTGGGATGGGCAGGTCTTTGGTTCTTGAACCGAAGGCTCTACAAAGAGTACGAAGAGAAGAGGGTTTTGGTGCAGATCATATTCAGCATCGTGTTTGCGTTCTCCTGCAATCTGCTCCAGCTCGTTCTCTTCGAAATCATCCCAATACTCTCCAAAGAGTGAGTCCTCTCCTCCTCTCTCTACATTTTACATTGCTTCTACATTTTAAGTTTCTCTGTTGTCTCGTTTTATAAAATATGAAAAGTCCAGGTTTAAGAGTTTCGACCATAACTGTTTTTTATGGGGATTTTGGGGTAAATAAACTTTTGACTTGGCTTGCATTGTTGTATGAACTGTTTTTGATGTGTACATGTGTGTGATTAGTCTTTTGGGTTGGTTTGAAAATGTGAGAATTGGAGAGGGGCAAGAAAATTGAAAATTGGGTTTTTTATGGTGTTGGGTTAGATTTAACTATTTGGCTTAGTCTGCTACAATTCATACATCCATTACTTCACTACGATTAAGTGATCTCTGTATTGGGTATGTTTTGATATGTCTGCTTCTATGGCTTGTTAGAAGTTTTAAGAAGAGAATTAAGGGCTGGTTTCATTGTTAATAAAATTGTTGAACATAATTTCTATCCAAATGTATGATGTAGAATGGCCATTTCTGGTACTTATGTATCTATGAATTGTTACAGTTCCCATCCTCAATTCACGAGAAAGTTAAGGATTAGACTTTTTCAGTTTTTCCACAATGTATCTGTTGTTCCTGTACATTTGTGTTATCTTTTCTCTATCATCTCTATCTCCTGCTTTGCTTGCTTTTTTGAATATCCTAACCTTAATCTCTACTTCTCTAGTGTTTTTTTTTTTGGCCAAAACTCTGTGGTTAGTATGGTATTCATGCTGTATTTTTCTCCTGATTGCAGAGCAAGATTGATAAACTGGAAGGTTGATCTGTTCTGTTTGATATTACTACTTGTTTTCATGTTGCCTTATTATCATTGCTACTTGATGCTCTGCAACAGTGGTAAGTTTCTCCTTCTTACACTATTCTGAGTCTTTCAACTAACTGTTCCTTTAGAATATAGATTTTCCTTTTCTAGTTTTTGAGTATTAATGCAGTTGGAGTATTAACCATTTGTCAAAGTTGGCTATTCATAATTACAGAATGTTCTTAGGATTTCATGTTTGTTAGAAGCTGCTAGCACATAGGCTTAGAGGTCTTGGGGGGATTTTTTTTGGGAGGTGGGCGGGGGAGGGGGAGGGGAGAAGGGGGCTGCATCAAGGGGTAGGTGACATGAATATAACAAGATATGCATTGTTTTATTAGCTACCTCTGAATGACGAATCGATGTTATTCATAATTACAGAATGTTCTTAGGATTTCTTGTTTCTTGGAAGCAGCTA